GGGGGGGGGGGGGGGAGGACATGGGAGTGAGCATACCACTTGCTCACTACTATGCACAAATTAATTATAATGACAGATAAGTATGGTCGCAATATGAACACGAATCAATCTTAATATCACATCTCCTAATTATCACAATACTCATGTGCATACCTATAAAAGCCACTGAAGGTCTAAACAACACTCATCAATTGGAGTACATGCTAGAGGTCTAAACAACACACAACGACATGGCCTTTCATTAGGTTAAGGGAGACTGCCTTTCATTAGGCATCGTCGAAGGTCTAAACAACACATGACGATGGGGATAACCGTTCGAATGTCTAAACAACACACATTGAAGGTTACATAGTTCACACGCATACATTGATCATACTGTCCAACAAATATAAATAATTTATGGCATAGATATTTAAATAAAACCCACCTTGATAATTAAAGCAGGAAAAAGCTTGATCAGCGGAGTAGGTTGAGAGCTCGGCTCGTCAGACACCTACATTTAATCAAGATAATCTCATCATTACATTATCTTGACAATTAGAATCAAACACAAGAATTCATACTTAGTCGAACATTATCGACTAAGTAGTTCGTGAAATTTTGTGGAATTTGGAACTCTCTGAATTTAAAAGAATAAGATTCGGAGAATGAAAGAGGAGTATCGAGACTTAAAATAGTTTCTCCAGATTTTCTCTAATTAGAAAATAATTTTTCTCGAGTTTTTCTCATTTTATAAAAAATATAAAAAAATGAGTTTGGCACGAAAAATAGGCTACCGGTACACAAAACGACAAAAAAAAAAACAACTTGGGCCGCATGTAAGCACATTGGACAGCCACAAAATTGGCCCCTCGCGCCCGACTGAGGAGGGAAGGCCCAATGGCGCGACCTATTACCAGGCGCTAGGGCGCGAGCTGGAAATGGGCCCCTTGCGGGCTCGCGGGTTGGGAATGCTGAGATGTTCGGGCTGCGCACGGACTGGAGCTGTTGCCTAGAGTTGGGCCGCGCGGGTCGAGACGCGAGCTTGGATGGCCCCCGCGCTGTTTGTTGGGTTTAATGCCCAACTTGGCCTCCGCGAAGTGGGCTGGGGGCAGAAAAATCAACAGGCCGGCAAAATACTTCCTGGGCTGAATAATTCTAGGCCGAAATGGTTGCAGAAAAAGAAAATAAGAAGGCATATAGGATTTGGTGTAACGCCCCATTTTATTTTGAAGAATTTACCAAATTTATTTATGAAAATCAAAGTAAAATTTTCGAAAAATATCAAATTTAAAACTTATTTCTCAACGGGCGCTACGTAACTACCACAAACAATTAAACAAACACGAACAAATTGATAGAACCTATACATGCATAAACTAACAGTCATAAAAACTAAACCAACTTATTCAATAGGTTTCAAATCCAACCAGAAAGTTAAACATGATTCAAAAGGTTCATCCAACATCATCGCAATATTCGAAACGGAGGCAAAAATATCAAAAGCAAAAGCAAATAGTTCAACATAAACAATAATAGGCGGAAGCAAGAGACAACGATAACACAATGACGAATTACCACCACTCGATCGTCTTCACGCCGCCGCCGCCAGCCACGCTCAACCTGATGATATGAAGATGAGACAAGGAGAAAAAGAATGGGGGAGCAAAACCATTATGCTCATCATTACCTTACAGTATATCTCACATAAAGATTCAAATCATAATTTAAGTATGCATAGAATCCATGTCTAACCCTTTATACGGCCCTATCGCAAACCTCCTATTTACATACAACTACCTTCCGACCATCTAATTGGAAAGGAAGTAACTGGAAACATTCCCTCCCCAGCTCGACATGGGAAAAGGATCCTTTCCAGGAGACAGTAGAACTGTTTTCCCCCTCCCGACTAGGCAAACGGTTCAGGGCGTCCACCTCCCGACTAGGTAAATAGGCAGACGACCTCTCACTGCTTATGCATTCATCAACCACTATCAATAGGACACCTAGACTAGGGTTCTCACGCATACAACAACTATCAAAACGAAAATTTATACGAAATAACGAGTGCGATAATTATAGATACAATGTAAATGTACCCACCTGAAAGCAGCGATATATCACAAACACAAGGCTCGAAAAGATAGGATTTGAGGTCAAAACCTCAAAACACTTACACGAAATCAAGATAACCTCTCGATTACAACCAATCCAACGATCATACAAACTTAGTTGAAACTCGTTGACTAAGTGGCTCGTGGGAAATTCTCGTGGAGTTATGGAACATTCGACTCGACTCAAAACCAAAGGGAAAAACACACAAAAATCCATCTCACAATCTACTCATCTCACATAGTTCATATTAGCATGCCTGCAAAACGAACACTTCATTTCCGAACATATGACAAGAGTGTTCAAAACTTAACCCACACAACGTTTTTAAAATCAACATAACTTTCAACACATAATTCACATGAACATGATTCAAGTATCAAATTAAACCTAAGGCATGCATCTACAACTTTTATGTAGAACTCAAAAATAAATAATGACATTTAGCAGGTAATAATTCAGCAAACATCAAAAATAGAGTTACAGTCAAAAATTGAGAATATGCAACTGACTGGACTTAAAAAAATGGCTAGATAACTGAAGATACACGACATCCTTTTAATGAGATTCAAAAACCACATGGCAGGTAACTTAAATATCTACAACTTTACTGAAGATCACATTATCAACGAGTTTAAACACAAAACATTTGATTCACAAAATCTGCCAAAGACTAACTTATGATATAAACAACACCTCAGTATGCATCATCTAAATCATGCTACAAATCTACAAATGACATGATTCTTGCATGCTTAGAAAGCTGAGAGACAGCCTTACAACTTTCATTTAGAACACAGAAGCAAATAAGGTCATTAAGATAGTGTAAAAATTGTTACCAATTAGAATCAGTTTTCTGTCAAAAGTTCAAAACTCATCTCATGCATGTCCTAACTCAATTTAACCTAAATGGAGTCACAGACATCA